GCGGTTCAAACCATTGCTGAAATTATCGAACTGCGTACTCGAAACCTGACCGTATCCGCCGGCTTGTCTCCGTGTTCGATTTGGTATTTGGCGCTCGGTGTCAGGATTGCACTAAACGTGAAAGCTTCGCGTTCGCTCCTTGACTGGATTCCAGTCAGTAGCCGAGTGTGCGCTGCACTACTTGNNNTTGATGCTTAAGTGCAACTCCACAGTAGCTGAATGAGTCGACCTGTCTATGTGTACGGCTGATTGCAGTGCATCTGAATGGAAAGATAACTTCCACACCGATCTCTACTGCTTCGGAGTTTAAGCTCAATGGAAATCTCAGTTTTCGCTGCGGACTACAACGCTCAAGTGGGCCCGTGGATGAATCAGAACGGTGCCAACAAAGAAAATCCTACCCACCGAGAGGGCCGATATAGCCAACTTCAACTATCCCCTTTTCCCTTCAAGGATGGTGGCCCAGCCTTAGTTTTGAAAATTGACAAAACTTCGGCGTAACTGAATAATCCGGTTCCGACTGAGTGATGTGAATCAGGTTGATTTGAGATCAAGTCGAGTACTCCCTGACACTTTCAACCTTCGCCAAATTGTTGTTACAACAACAGAGGTGAGCAAAACTTCACTTAGCCGAATGGGAATAATAACACCATTCAGCGTTTACTTATCCGTAGCTGGGTGAACGCACGTCTAACCTTCAATCAACTACCTAATCTAATCATAAGTTAAGCATCATGTATTGCGCAGTGAACCGTTTTTTTTAGCTCCGCCCCATATGAACCTAAATATATGCATACTACACCAGTGCGTTTTTTTCTTATCCTGTACTCCAACTCTTGTGCAAATCAAGAAGCGGTTGTTGGATTTCCACGGTATCCGTGAGTGGATTAAGGGATTAACTGGTGCAATGACAGACTGGCGATCACCAGTGAAAAGACAATCAGGAAAATATTGACCAATTGTGGCAAATCAGATATTTCGTTCAGTGATCTTATTCAACCCTACCCGAGGCTGTTTTTAGGAGAACTAACTCTCCTCGTCCCGGCACTGTTACGTAGATATATAACACAACTACTAGGTGGGGATGCGGCCATGATGTACGATGATTACAAACTCGGGGAAGCTCTTTGTTGTCTTCTCATTGACAAAACCATATAAAATAACTCAAGTCCACTATCGACGGGACGATCTGTATATAGTTAGAATTGATGCCCAAACACCGGAGTGAAGATCAACGGACTCACCTCGTTACGAAACTTGTCTCTATTAAAACTGCATGAATTTCCTACAATTTTACATTTGCAGCCAACCACACACATCGCACCGAAGAAATCGTTCTATTTTGTCATGTCTAAATTCAGTTCTTACAACCATTAACCGTGCATTTTCGTGCACCGGTTTTGGTTGCCCATTTGGATAAAATGGCAGAATGATGATTAGAATGTTGAGAGCAGATTTGAGCGGAAGGTAGCACATTTTCATAGACTGAAGTTACAGGAATAATGAAGAGATGTATGAGCGACACCCAGCCTTATCGCTCAGGATCTCTAACCACCGGTGACTATGATTTCTGGGTCCCCAGCCAGGGACCTATGTGGGCCAGTCTTCTAAATACTACTCCCCGTGTCATTTAGGGAATCCGACTTATGCAGCGGATTGAGATGAGACTCAGATCAGGTGATTTTGTTGAACATTGACTCGGTTTTTCATCTTCAGTGGACTTGAGGAACAATGGATCATGCGATAAGGGATAGCGTTGTGTAAATCATGCGAAAAGACTTTAAAGAAGAAGTGCACAGTTTGTGTTTTTATTCATCAGCATGAGATTAAATCATTATGTACAAACCGTTGCCGGCATCATGGCAAAGCACTCTCTAACGTAGATTTCGTGGAACGCACGGAAAGAGAGCACTATATCGGGAATACGGATAGGAATGAATATCAGGAAATGGCACACATTAGACGCCATCAGACTGGGATAAGATGTGGGTGATCAATCGACACGTGAATGAAGGATAGGTAAATAAACGGTTTACAGATAGTACAGAAATTATTGGAATCAGAGAATAAATGCAATGGTCACATGAAATGAAACTTTGTACGCAGCCGTTCTGACTGCAGCAGCAATGCGATTCAATCAGGCTTTCGTTTAGGATGAAAGTTCATATGTATATATCACCCAACCAAGAGAAGGAAGTGTGAGGAATCGCATAGAACTTCATACCGGAAAATAGTCACTTGGAAGTCCTTGCTTTCTCAACGATTAGTTCCACGACGACCGGTTCGACGTCGTTTTGGCGCGGCCAGAGGCGACAATGAGGATGAAGTTTGAAGGAAGTTGCACAGCAACTCCCGTGATCCGTTATCTGAGTTCTGATAAAGTCGGAATAAAAGATTAGGTGGCGGGGTGGGGGGAAGCGCGTCTAATCCATCATCGTGAGCTGCTGCATTATTAACCAGCGAAGCCGCCGTATTCGACTGGGAATCAGCGGAGGAATCTGTGATGTCAGCAGGGCTTTGCGTCGAACTGGTAGCCGATTGTTCCGCTATCGAGCTGATACATGGAGCCGGAGCATCTTGACGCCACTTGCTAAGCAGTGCAGCGGTATGGTCGCGCAATGCCGGTGGCATTGAGCCCGGGTTCATTACACAACGTTTTTTGTGTGATTCAAGGAGATGAAGCGGACCAATAAAGTCACAACCCAGAGCTCGCCACGGACATGCTACCTAGAGAAGATATTAGCCAGAAGACATTAAACGATTAGGAGTAAAGCATACACTGAAAGCTAGATTTTCTTCACATATCAATATATAAGTTAGCAACCTTGCAGTCAATCTTCTTATTTATGAAATATGCTATTGTACTAAACAGTGGTAAGCTAACCGCTCTACTAAGGCCGAAATTTTTCCCGTACTGAAAAATACTTACTTATACCTAAGGTAAACGCTGTCATTTCCTTTTTCTTATACAGAGATTGGAAAAAACAACACAACTGAACCAACCGATTTGGGGTTGTACTGAGAACGTAGGTGTAAGGGAAATGGCAGGCTATAGACAGTCTGTTGACTCTGTGCTATAATATTTCTGATAATGTTTCTTTTGCGGATGAAGAAATTTAGTATTATTATTATTGAAAGACTAGAAGAAATACGTCACCAAGTGATTGCCATTTGGTGTAAGCGACTAACTGCTTGTGCGAGGAGAAACAAGTGAATGGGGTCTGCAAAAGAATGATTCCATCAAATAACAAGACTGTAGCCGCATAATCGAGAAGAGTGAGTGACTGTTTGACAATGAGATACCCAGTGCAAGTTGCGAGTTCTTAGGTCGTTGCCAAGGTTCGTTACCTCATATCGAACAAAGTTCTGAATAAGCGCGGAAGTGAATGAAACCTCACCGCTCACGTAACTAAAGCGTTTGAATGTCGGACAACTTTGAGTTTTCCAATGTGAACGATTGGAAAGTTGGGAAATAACAGGCTGCGAAACTCAGCACAGAATCCCAAGAAAAAACCGAGAAAAAGTGCAAAAGTGGCGAGCTCATCGCCAGAGATTCAACATAATTATCGTATACCAAAACACAGTGAAGCGAACTTCGCTGATCGCAGCCAAGCTCACAATGTACACGAATCAAGTGATAAAGCACACGATGGAGGGAGATTGGGCCTACTTGGAAGGAGACAAAGAAAGTGAATCTCTACGGTCAACAGACAGAGCACACAATCTAACTATGTATACACACTGTTTTTAACCTGATAAGAAATAACAAGGTCATCGGTGTCAGTTAGTCGCCATTTCCGTCAATGTCTTCAACGAACCAGTTGCAGAACCTGTCGGACCCCAACCTGGAAGATGCGTGACACCTACACTACCTAGTGGCCTTGTGCATTTATTCAAACCTCGTCTCCGAATAAGCGGTCGCGGACGATCAGCGGCAGCGCTCGAGGGTGTGGTGGGTTTACCCCTGGCAAGGGTTCTCCGTACAAAACGCCACATATATCCGNGTGTGGCCCGCCACTAAATATGGTCATTGCTCCTTGTCAAGATCAATTGCTCGACAAGGCTTTCCAGAAAAGGCGAATGAACCAACTACTGGCCACCGGCTCATCTGGAATATCGCTGCTGCCTTGCAGTCCGTGCTTGGTTGCGCAAAGGCTAGAGTGCACCCTCGAACAAGGCCTACTCTGGACAGGGCGATCGAGTAGTACAACAGCCCACAACGCCAACAATGATGAACTCTTCGACATCTTCGCACATTCAGTTCACTGTTTCTGCAACTAAAGGCAAAAACTCTACACCGTACACACTCGCGTCCTCCCAGCCCTCGTCCATCACACATCCGCCCCCGTCACCCACCCCTTTTCTCGGGATCCTCAGACGATCGTGCAAACACTAGTGCCTCGGGCGGAAATTCTGTCGCTGTTCCCTCATGTCCTACCTCGACCACTGTCCAAGTCCCACCGATTCCTCCACCAACTGGAGCCCTTCTTCGCCCTCAATGCCCCTTCAAACTAACCACATTTAATGTGCGCACTCTGATGCGTATAGGACAACAGGCCGGTTTAGCTCGTACGCTCGAGACCCTAGCCATCGATGTGTGTTGTATCCAAGAGACTCGCATTCAAGACTCCAGCTCCATTATCCGATTGAAGTCCCCATCAAACCCATCAGTGAAGTTTCACTTACGCTTTTCTGGGGACCCTGAGGCTGCGGCTTCCGGTCTTCCTGGCGTTGGTGTGGCTCTCAGTGAGATAGCTGAGGCCACGCTTCTGGACTGGATCCCAGTCGACAGTAGGTTGTGCGCAAAGAGACTTAGAGGTTCGTGCAAAGTAAACAGCCGTCGCCCCGATAGACGAAACCTGTTTGT